ACCCACGAAAGTGGCCAAGGATGGGCCGAGGAGGCAGGGATGCAGGGGTAGCCTTAAGTCAGGCATGTCCCCCTACAGGAGGATTTTGGAGGAAAAATAAAAAATTGTCAAACAAATGCTCCAAAATTGCAAAAACAGTCACACACATCGTTCCAAGACTATTGTTTCAAATATGTTTGAACACTCCTCCTGTAGAGGGACAGGCCCGACTGAAGGGTAGCCCTGGGAAGGCTGCCCATCATCACCATGCGGGCCGACTGCACACGCAAGAGTGACCCCACGCAGGAGTGGCCCTCGGGTGCGCGACGCTCGGGGGGCCGCGGGGAGGTCGAACGGGAGCGCGCAAACCGATGCTGTCACATCGCGCTCCGGCATCTATGAAGGGGCTCCAGGACACACAAACAAATACACTCACATTAAAATGTTCCCCAAATGTTTCCATATTTGGGGGGTTTTCGTCTTCCCCCCGACTTCCCACATTTTCCCATATTTTCTGGGGAATCAGCGATGAATTGTGTCTGTGTGTTTTTCCCCTCCTGAATCTACGGACCCATCTGTGCCCGCACCAAGAGGTCACTCCGGCGAAAGGTCCCTCTTACGGGTTGTCGATGAGAGCTCTGGGCCTCCTCACTGCACACAGAAGGGCTCCTGTGCTCGGGTCGGGCCTGTCCCTCTGCGGGAGGAGTTTGCAGTAACCGAATTTTCAAATAACGTTTGAACATTGTCCGGATATACTCCAGATTTCGTAATAAAAGAGAGGGGGTCTCAACCCTCCCAGACGAGAAGTTTTCGACCCTCCCGGACCATCCATGAAAGGGCGGCCCTCTGCCCAGACCCCCCCCGAACCCTCCAAGACAGCTCAGATCAGACCCCCATTCCAAATGTGACCCCCCCGACTTTCTTATGGAATCCGGAATATTGTTTGACCTGTACGAGGCCGCGCCCGACCTAAGTCGATGCTCTGCCACCGAAGCCACAATTTGTTTGTTCACCGCACCCATTGGATGAAGGCTCGAACTCGAAATAGGCCTTTATATATATATACATATATGAAATAATTTAATAAATAATAATATAAAAAAACCAAATTAGCCTGGCGAAGGACCCAACCATATGCAGTTGTGAGTACCGTCGTTGTGAGTATCGCAATCGGTGGAGATCCCTGTGGGCCGCGAAAGGCTGTCCTGGGTAGGGGAGACGCATGTGACTGCAGCAACTGTTGCCTTCGGTGGAGCTCCCTATGGGGCCACGAAACGCTGTCCTGGGTGGGTGGAGACGCATGCGAACTGCGGCACTGGGGCTTTCGGTTGAGCTCCCTGTGGGGCAACGAAACGCTGTCCTGGATGGGGGAGACGCATGCGAGTGCAGTTGTGGCCTTCGGTGGAGCTCCATATGGGGCCACGAAGCGCTGTCCTGGATTGGGGAGACGCATGCGAACTGCGCCACTGGGACTTCGGTGGAGCTCCTTATGGGGCTACGAAAGGACGGCCTGGGTGGGGGAGACGCATGCGAACTGCGCCACTGGGGCCTTCCTGGGTGGGGGAGACGCATGCGAAGTGCGCCACTGTGACCCTCGGTGGAGCTCCCTATGGGGCCACGGAACGTTGTCCTGGGTGGGGGAGACGCATGCGACGCCATGCGAACTGCGCCACTGGGGCCTTTGGTGGAGCTCCCTATGGGGCCACGAAACGTTGTCCTGGGTGGGGAGACGCATGCGAACTGCGCCACTGGGACCCTCGGTGGAGCTCCCTATGGGGCCACGAAACGCTGTCCTGGGTGGGGGAGACGCATGCGAACTGCGCCACTGGGACCCTCGGTGGAGCTCCCTATGGGGCCACGAAACGCTGTCCTGGGTGGGGGAGACGCATGCGAACTGCGCCACTGGGACCCTCGGTGGAGCTCCTCTATGGGGCCACGAAACGCTGTCCTGGGTGGGGGAGACGCATGCGAACTGCGGCATTGGGACCCTCGGTGGAGCTCCCTATGGGGCCACGAAACGCTGTCCTGGTTGGGGGAGACGCATGCGAACTGCACCAATGTGGCCTTCGGTGGGGCTCCCTATGGGGCCACGAAACGCTGTCCTGGGTGGGGGAGACGCATGCGAACTGCGCCACTGGGACCCTCGGTGGAGCTCCCTATGGGGCCACGAAACGCTGTCCTGGGTGGGGGGGACGCATGATAACTGCGCCACTGGGACCCTCGGTGGGGTTCCCTATGGGGCCACGAAACGCTGTCCTGGGCGGGGGAGACGCATGCGAACTGCGCCACTGGGACTTCGGTGGAGCTTCCTATGAGGCCACGAAACGTTGTCCTCCTGGACGGGGGAGACGCATGCGAACTGCGCCACTGGGGCCTTCGGTGGAGCTCCCTATGGGGCCACGAAGCGCTGTCCTGGGTGGGGGAGACGCATGCGAACTGCGCCACTGGGACTTCGGTGGAGCTTCCTATGGGGCCACGAAAAGCTGTCCTGGGTGGGGGAGACGCATGCGAACTGCGCCACTGAGACCCTCGGTGGAGCTCCCTATGGGGCCACGAAACATTGTCCTGGGTGGGGGAGACGCATGCGAACTGCGCCACTGGGCCCTTAGGTGGAGCTCCCTATGGGGCTACGAAACGTGTGAGGGGTGCGCCGTGAGCAGAGGCAACGAGGGAGAGGAGGGCGGAGGGAGGAGGCAGCGGGAGGAGGAGGAGGAGTGAGGGAGACGCGGGGCACCGCCTCTTCAAAACGAGGACCCAACACCACAGGATGGTTGGGGAAAAAAATTAGCCTGGCGAAGGACCCAACCATGTGCAGTTGTGAGTACCGTCGTTGTGAGTATCGCAATCGGTGGAGATCCCTGTGGGCCGCGAAAGGCTGTCCTGGGTAGGGGAGACGCATGTGACTGCAGCAACCGTTGCCTTCGGTGGAGCTCCCTATGGGGCCACGAAACGATGTCCTGGGTGGGTGGAGACGCATGCGAACTGCGGCACTGGGGCTTTCGGTTGAGCTCCCTGTGGGGCAACGAAACGCTGTCCTGGATGGGGGAGACGCATGCGAGTGCAGTTGTGGCCTTCGGTGGAGCTCCATATGGGGCCA